TTATATTTATATTTTTACAAGAATATTCTAAACAGGTAGAATGAAAAATTCAAATCCATTAGTAAAAATAGAAGTTGAGTTAATTAAGAACACCCTCAAAACTTACACCAATTTTAGGTGCATTGATAATGCAATAATTAAGACAGTCTGAAACGGTGACTTGCCAAAATTCAGCGATTGAACGTGAACTTGATATGCCACGGTTGATGGTCGGCAAAAAACATTGTTTTGCTGCACAGAAAGAAAGAAGCAGTATTCAATTATTATCATGGTTGGTTTGTTGTTATCGGTTCATTAGCTATCGTAGTGAAAAGTGATGAGTACTTAGTTCAGTCTGACAAGCCAATTTCATCGACAGTTGTAAGAAACTGATCGCTTGATTAATTGTTTTTCCGCCCTGGTAAATCAAATATCCGCAAATTAGAGCCCATCACGGGTTTAAAGCAAGTTTACCGTTTGCAGTGCGAACTTTTGTCCAGAGATGAATCAGTGAACGCAGTAGATTAAAAAATTGATTGGTTAATGAATGATCACCATTATTCCTCATTTTTTGAAAATTACGCATTTAGAAAAAAGAATTTTTTGCGAGGAGGATTTCACTCATAAGACAATAATCGAATCTCTTAAGTTTCTCTTAATTTCTTCAAACTGTTTCACGTTTACGTAAAATCATAAAACTGAACGTAATGTAATGTATTACTTACGAAATGCTGCAAATCGCCTGTTTGTTGTTGCTGCGTGAGCAAATGATGTCAAAAGAAAAGTATGAATAATGTAACAGATTTGAATGACCATCGAGGAGTAATTGATAAATGGAACAACAATAAAACAGCAGTACAACGAACACTTCTTCTCTAGTACTGGTACACTGAGGTTGTTGTTATGATGTCTCATCATATGTTTATATGTATGCATGTGCATATATAATTCCATTAATTGAACTTAACTTAAGTCTAGCCGTTGAGCATCGTCATCTTCTGTCATGATTAATCGTATTTTCGAACTACCGTTGACCTGCTTTTAATTAGGGAGCACTTACCCAAACGCTTCATACAATTATATACACTACACTATACAATAAGTTATTCTTCGACTCTGATCTCTCAAAAACAACTTCATTCTTTTGTATGTATTCAATGAATTGCTGAAACGTATTTTTACACCTCTGTATCAATCACGGAACAGTTATCCTGGATTGTCAAATCATAATCCTCAAGCGTCATTGACAAGAATTTTTCTGGCAAGAAACAAAATCATGTATAGTTTTAGCATGCAATTTTATTTCATATACGTAAATCATAATAACAATTACAACACTTTTTAAGAAAAATTGGTCTCCTAAAAGTGATATTATATTGAAAATAGGCGTATTATTACGAAAATACAACACATCATTATTTCCTACTTATATCTGTGTCCATACTGTTCCCTTTCTTCTTCTGATTCGTTTCGATTCTATACAATTCTTACAGCCAAGCGTATCTTTGCGCTGAACACTTTACTCGGATTTGTGAAGTTCACAAAAATTTCTCCATCATCAATTGATTTTTCGCACCCCTCTTCAGATAACTTCGGTGTTGACAGCGTAAATCTTGGTGTCAGATCCGTATCTCCTTTAAAGATGAACTCGATAAAAGCAACATTGAATTCGATTATGTTTCTCGTCAGTTTTAGTACAAATTTAAAACAATTTGCAAAAATAAATGCTATATCAATAGCACAACAAACCTTGTGATATCCAGAATTTTACATCAGAATTCGTCCAGAATTCGTATAAAATTGATTTTCCCTTACTGACTTGATATTGAAGACGTGACGTTTCATCAGCACGAACGACCAATTCGCTTAATTCAACATCTTCCAACGAATAATCTTTCCAAATTTGACCACAATCCTATCGATTTTAGGTTTATAAAAAATTATTTTCGTTTACTCTGGTTAGTTGTTTATCGGAAAAGCTGACAAACATGACCGCAAATCAAATGCGATATGAGATGAAGCAACTACCTGGAAGTCAACATCTGAAATTGGTACAGCTCGAATACATCCATTTGTCATCGTCTCGCCAGATTCATCCGTACTTGATGACGTTTTATACTCGCCTCCATAAGCAATTGGTATCGCTTGTAGCGATAGATGGGGTAATAATTGATCAGGGAGTTTTTTAGCGAATAAAAAACGATTATGCACTTTTGTTGGTAGCAACATTGATGCGATCTACAAAATCGATTCTTTTATCTTAACATTTGCACCACTATTACTTAGTCACCTCGTCACCATCTACTTTCAGTTGCAGCAACAATATTTAATAGTCACTATTGTAGCACGCGAGAGAGCACCGCATAAATTTAGGAGGCTTATTCTGTTCCACAAAATGAGACCAGCCACCCCACCTCTCTACAAGTGCTGTATTTACCCGGTGATAAGTGATAATGTCCACGTTTAGAAGCATTGATCTACAGTTTCATTACTCTTCATACAATAATCTCATACGGTAAAAACAACAACAGTTGTGCTCACTAACAACATACGTGTTGAAATGCACAAATCAAGCGATAATCGTAATGCGCTTGAGGAACGAAGTTCTAAAAACTACCTTCCATATGACTGGAAGAAGTGTTGGTGGATTAACGATAATCACATTTTTCACTAATTCACTGTAGTAATCGAGCCATAAGTAGATGCGTGCCTTAAGAAAACTCAATTATACGATGAGACATGAAAGCATATAACATATGGTAAGCGATTGCAGAGATACAAATGTTACATAAATATGCGCACTGGACGAATTCGAGTGAATATTTATAAGAAAGTTGAGCGAAAGACATTTTAGAAGAGATGAAAATTGTAATTCAATCGTTGCTAACTGTTAGCATCCTATTGATTGCTCCAATCGGATTCATATACGGCACTAACGAGGAACCTTTTTGGTCGTATATGCAAATACCGTACGACTGACGACCGGTACGCTCCTCTTGTTCCAGTATTGCGTTTTGAAAATATTCACAATAACCAAAAAATATTTTCAAGTAGCTTGAGACACGCATGCATTTCATTATCTGCAAAAATACGAACGCAATATAACCTGTTGTTCCTAGGGAACATGATACTGAGTTGTTTGTGGAGAATTATTATTATTATTATTATCATTATTATTATTATCATTATTACTTCAGTCAGATTGAAATAATTAAATAAATGTTCATTTATGCCTCGCTCACTTTTTTGGGTTCCTCAAAAGGCATCTCAACGAAAACGATCGAATTGTCCTTTTCATTTATCCAATCGTTTGTTAGTCGTGATTGTGTCAAAAATCGACCATACTTCTGAATATCATCTCGCTGATAAAAACTTTGTGTAGCGTTTGGTGAATTATAACTGTAATGAATATTTTGTTTTGTGATTAATTGTTTCATCAGAATTGCATTAACTGAAAACTGATCGAACAAATTATGTATAACGAATTAGAAGAGATGCAAGCTATTAACTAGTACAGTAATATTTCTGTTTATTTATACATACCCCAAGGTCTGGCGCATCTTGAGGTATTCTTCAAATTTACTTGCACATAATTCAACGTTCTGAAAAATGGAAAACAACAATAATAACAATGATGGTAATGAAATATTATTAATCATAATAATGATAAGAGGAAGCATGAAAATAACAATAACGATAGCAAATTAAGTAGAAACTGAAATGGTAGTCAGTTAAATTACCTGATCATAAGCCTTCAGCCATCGCATCAAATGAAAATCTGTATTCAGTTGGTTCGGTATTTTATCGGATAGGCGATCTCGAATGGCTGTCAATAAAGGCTGCTGTGATGGATCATTCATTTTCGTTGATCAACTCTGCCCGTAAAGCGACAAACAAATGAGTATATAAGTTTTATGGCAAGAGTTTGGTCGAGATCCAGCTCAATTCAAATTATTCACTTCAAAAGAGATTAATGAACCATATAAGAAGTTGTATTATATTATACTATAGTAATGGATGCTCGATGAATTAACGAACTAGTGATGATATGATGATGTGTGCATGTTTGTAATGCGAAAAAGGGAATGTGTTCAAATGACTCAGTCGATGGCGAAACTGACCCAAATTCAAAATAGATGACGATTATCGTGGAATATATTATTCTCGATAGGCATCAAATAAATGCATTGTTGTGGTCATTCAGAGTAGTTCGATGAAATTCTATACTCTTACGTGTATCTTTAAATCTAGTCGTCAAATGAAACAACGGTACATCACGTCAGATAATATAATTTATTCAATAACAATTAATCAGTCAATCACATTCATTGATGTCATGAAATATTCAGAGAAACAAGAATAAGCCAATTGGCCACCCATGAAGAAATTGTCATGTTGAAATGAGATATACAAGTTTTATATATGTAGAGTCGAAAAATATGGCATCAATATCTTGAAGGAATCATGAAACGAGCAAAAAGATGAAATTTTTATGATTCAATAAAAGATTGCAATGAAACAAATTAATGGTGAAAAATGAATTGTACAATTGTTTTGCGTATCAGTGGATTTTATCGACTCAGTAACGACGACAGTGACATTCACACTGAAGTATTTGAAAGATAGATTACATCATGCAGTTTGTTCACATTATTGAGTGTTCATTTCCGCTAATCTCGTCTTCCTGATTGATGTGTAAATAACGTTTGATGAAATACACACATTATATGGATTTCTAGAAATGTCCTTCTATTTCCTAGAATCTGATATGTGATTTTGAAAATTCGTCGTTTCGTCTTCGATTCATATATCCACTGAATGGAAAATGATCAGTATGTCATAGAAAGCAACTACATTTATGACATAATGGATAGTATGAACGAGTGATTGTTTGTAGCTTAAAACGATGACGGCTCATGCTCTCATTTAACGATCAATTTCTCAAATTCTTTCATCGCTCATTTTACCTCTACGAAAAATTTCTATAGCCTCATTACCATTTTTCAAGAAGCCAACGGTAAATGGCAAAAATTGTTGAACGGTAAGCTGCTCCACCCGTCGATCATTTTTCAAAATGGCCCTTAAAAGTGAAAATGATTACGGTGAAAACATTACGCTTGGATTTTTTGAAATATTATAAGCAGAACTAATATTTGGTCGATATACATATGTATATTACTAATGCTGATACAGATGTCTCATTCATTAACTATTTAGGTTATGCATTAGCGAGCGGGTTGAGTTTAGAATAGAATATATGATGAATGAATGATCATTTTACATTGTCATGATCAGTGATGTCTCTATACTACATTTTTGAATACTGTTCTATTCTATTCTACCCGCTTAAACTGTGCTATACTGTTCTAAACTGTTCTATTCTATTCCTTCAGTTAGAAAAATGACACGATAAAAGTTGCGGTAATTAGGGTTTGCAGTGGAAAATGGAAATTATTCGGGGTGGGAGAAGATTGTCCATACAGGCAGTTGATAGCTTTTGACCGTGATGATTGGAGGAAAACGGAGGGTTTTGCGCTCTGGTGACCAGTATCATTGAAGGACAGAGGATTCCCGTTTCGTCCCAACAATTCGGTCAAAACCTGATGCACGGTTTCTCGTACTAATGAGTTTGGAATGAACTGATTCGTTCAATCGGCCTCAAATCCTCCAAGCATAAACTTTTATTGGAGGCGTAAGATGTGAACAATTTCTTTGATGGATAGCTCGTAGAATTAGAGTACGGCCAGCATTTGAAAGTAGGGTGTTCATTGGGAAATAGAGTTGCATCCTTTAGTTGTTTCTTGAGGGAATTCCTCACAAACAGTCTTTGACAGTTTTGAGACCTTACTGCGATAACTTGCCCTCGATGCGCTGTTTCATCTCTTACTGATGGCCTTTCGCCTCTCCCTAATGATATTGAATATGACGTTTTTTGGTGGACTCGAATCTCTAACAGCTATCAGCACTGAATTACTTGAGTAACTATCTCTCCGCCATCCTTGCAGAAGAACGAATAAATATAATAATAATAGGTAAAATGAAAACAATATTAATAAAAACAATAATAATAAAGAAAATGATAAATGATAATAAATAATAATGAGAAATAATAGCAGTTAAAACAATATTAATAAATACTAACATTAATTAATAATAATAATTTAAATAATATTAATAAATGATAATAATTAAAATATTTTTAGTTAAGAATAATAATAATAATAACAATAATAATAAGAATAATGATAATTATAATAATAAACAATAATAACAGCAATAATACAACAATGGTAATTTCCCTTACTGCAGTCTTTACAAAGAACAGTTTAAGGAACAGCCAAAATCTGTTGAAAACTGTTCTGTTCTATTCTTTTGGCCTTAAAAACAATTCCGTTCCATTATATTCTATGCGTTCCTCGTTTGCGAATTGTTCTCTCCCCTGGAATAGAACAATTCGCACTTTAACTGGAATAGAGACATCACTAGTCACGATCCGTAAGTTGAGTGTGACATATGTGTGTGTTTATTTTCATATGTGTTCCTTGAATATACACATGTATGGAAGACTTAAGATTCGTATCCACTAAGAATACGCTTATTCAGTCCATTTTTCAAGGATAAATTCCAATAAATTTTCAATATGAAGCGACTTCTTCAAGCAGTATCGTTATCATCGTAAAAACAGTACTTCAGAACAAAAGTTTTATAATGAGCAAGGTGTTAGCTGACGCGGAGCAAGTTCGTCTCATTTTTGTAGTTCTTTTTGATGCTTAGTTCTGATGTACATTGGTCCTTTCAACTGATGCTCCCTTTCTAAGTTCTCATTAGTTTACTAAATATGTCTCAATCATTAGTTGCTTCAAAATCACTCCAAAATTGATTCTGTTAAAACGAAAAAAAAGAAGTAAACGATACAAATAAGCGGAGAATGAATCCAAATGAAATAATGCAGGACATGTAAAGCATGTGATTTACTGTAGACAAAAACCTTGACCGATCATCAAGATTCTAAAGAATGCTAATTTTTCAAATAAATTGCTGGTGAATACCAACAAACAGCTGACAATACTGAGCACTCAGGGGGTTCGATTGGATTGCGTTATATTGTAGTGGACTGAATCAGTTTGATTTGGATTGTACTGGACTGGATTGAAGGACAGTTAATGATTTTTGATGGGGAAGTAAGAAGTCACTCAAAAACAAATTTGGTGATAGCTTCGCATGCAATAGTAATAGCTGAAAAGCGACATCGTTTTATCGTATGTAGCACTGAGTTGTTGTAGGAATGTGCAAGTTGTTGTTTTTTGCTTGTAGGTTGACTAATCATTTTATTTGATACGCGTTGAAATGTTGCTTTTGTTTTCTTTTTCTCGCTTTCTTTTATCACCACAGGGAACAAATCCGATGGGATCGAATAGGATAGTGCTTAAGCGGATAGATAGATAGATAGATAGATAGATAGATAGATGGATAGATAGATATATGGATGGACAGATGGATGAATGGATGGATGCAGGAATCTATCTTCTTGTTCTTTTTCCATTCCATTCTATTCCATCTATTTGCTCGCTCTTCGTTCTTTCAAAATGTACTTTCATTTAGTTGATTTGATTTTGCTTGCTGTTAGGTTGACTCGATTCAGTTCGAAGCTTTGGTTCAATTCAGTTTGTCACCTACCGCTGCCTATCAGTTGCTCTTGTCAAGTTCGAATCGCTCTTGTCTTGTCAAGTTCGTTTCTGTTTTTCGTTCGCTAGTTTCGACTTTTAGTCAGTTTTGATTTGTCTAAATGATGGATGACGATAAAGCAATCTATCCATAACTTCTGCGTTTGCAACATTTGCATCTGCAGACATGATTTTTGAACAACACGAGCATCATCAATGAATTTCTTGAAAGTACTGTGATTAGTGGTTTGTTGAAAGCATCTTCATCCGCATACGTACTTTATTGGGTGAAATTGATGAAATGCAACGTTATTTTGTGACATACGCTTTTTTTATTCGCTTGATGTGATTTTGATCAGCAGTTTTTCACATTTTGGCACATTGCTGCCAACCAATGCCACTCGTCGGCATTTTCATGAGGGAGTAGCAGTGATATTTGCATGAATGTGAGGTTGTCCTTAGTGATAAATGCTGTTTATGGATGAAAGTTTGTTCACTTCGCGATTTCATTGCATTCATCGAATCGTTTTATTTTTTCTTATTTCGGCTTATATTGTTACAACGATTAAAAAGAGAAGGCCAGTAAAGATGTATCGATGAGATAGATAGGCGATAAATTAGTCAAATTTTAATTTGCATCAAGTGCCATAATACTGCGGTCGGATGGAAATGTTGTACGTTCGAGTGATGTGTAAACGAGTGGATTTATTCGATTTTTATTTGCAATTGGAAATTTATACAATTGATCCGTTCAGTCCTCATCGACAAAGCATTTGTTTGAAAGAAGGCATTTGTCATCGCTTAGTAGTGTGCATAACTTTTCATCAAATGAAGAATCTCAATGAAATGCGTTCTCTTTAACAAAAAATTTAGTGAATGATCATCAAAATTTGTGTTCCTCTGCATACATAGATGACCTACATACTTTTTGGTGTTTTTTGAATGTTTCAAAATGAATGAAACGATGATAGGGATTAGGATTTAGCTGACTAAGATCGAATAGATGAAAATGTCAGCTTAATAAATGATCAATGTAAATA